CCTAGTCACGGCGGTGGGTGTGGAGACCATCACCTCGAGATCAAGAGAGAATAACGAGAGAGAACAAATTTAGCCTATGTAAATCAAGTCATCCTAATTCCAAATATATTTCTTGATTGATTGTGATTTAGGAACTTGGGTTTACAGTTAAAACGAAGGGCAAATCATTCTTCCCTTCTCTATATATGTCTAGCTCAACAAGAGGGTACATAGATGTTAGTCAAGGGAAGTTTTGGTCTCCTCCACAACTAAGACAGCCCCAAAAGCAACGATCGGGTATCAATGGAGGATGCCATGTTAGCTATGCTTCAATCATTGACACACATACACGAGATAAATGGACTTGAATTTGCATGTAGAAATTGCACCGGCGAAAGCGAGAGGGATACGAGTGTCCTACAAGTACACAGTACACGTTACAGTTATCGCCTTCCGACTTACTCCACCGCCGACATAAATTCAAGCGAACGACGTGGCCCTCACCAAGTTCAGTATGATGACAGGAGTATTTCAGCGATTTCTCCAGTCAATTGCAAGTCTGCAAAAATCTCTCATAATTAAAGAGGAGGGTTTTCCTTCCATTCTCATTAGGGTTCTGCACAATGTGTTGGAAAAACAAAAGAATAAACTTATTCGACTCATCCTCAACTAGGAGTATAAGTAGCTATTGGCCAACTGGGATTGCAGATGCAGATACAGTTTGCATGTTAAGACTAATGCAGATTCCAAGGAGACTGTAAAGGCCACCTAGAGGATAAGAACTACTGCAAGATAATGATAGTTTATAATGTTGTCTCAGATTTTTAAAAGATGGAAACGCGAGGAGCCAAAATGGGAACTCCCAGAGACATGGGAGCTCATTAATGGCCACAGCCAAACTCCAGCTGCATCCCATCCAAGATGCAGCCAGGGCGGGGCCAAGACAAGTTGAATAGAGACGGAGCTCACTAAAAGCTCTTCTTGTCTCCATCCCTCTTCCTCAATCTCCTCATGGTTTTCTTTCCCAGACTGATATTTTCCAAGGAGAGAGAACGTAATTTTCTGGTTTTTGGGGGGATTTTATGATAATGACTGTACGTTTAACGTTTCATCCTTTTATCCCTTGTGTTCTTTCTCAAATTCTATGCGCGAGAGGATCACGAGATGGCATGTGTCAATTATGCAACTTTATTTAGAATTCCCTGTGGTCTGTAGACGTCCATCTCTGTGAAAACTTCTAGTTTTTAGTTCAGTTTCCATGCCAAATTGCAAATGTCAGTCGTCGCGATTATTAGAACTAGAAGTGTAGTCATTCTTTTAACTATGTAACTTCAAGGAACGTGAAAACTTTGAGCCTAGGGAGCACCAGGTTAGTGACATTTGATGATTCAATCTGTGGTGGAACGGAGACTTGCCGATTCTTCCCCATTTCCTTTTCGGGGGTCAATGGCCCCGCCGAGATGCAAACGGATCCCATAAATGAGAGAATCCACAGCTACTGCAATTAGAACATGGGCCATCCCTGACTCAAGTAACGTACAAGCTCAAAAAGGCATGCGACAGGACTCGCTTCTAGTCCCCAGCCTTCCATGATTGAATCTTTTGGGGGGGATTTTGTAGTTTCTCTCTTATTCCTCTCCCCCTGCTGCAAGAATCATATGGACATGAGCCCCGCTGGAGTCCTTATCTTGCTGTGTTTTTACCTGAGCAGAGGAATCCTACCTCCCAACTAGGTGGCCACACCTTTTTAGAATCTCTTTCGCTCTTTCGAGTGCGGTGTTGCTTTTCTTTTTCTGTTCATCTTCTCGTGTCTTTCCTTTTGGCTTTCGGGGCCAAATCAAAAGAGGGTTTATATCATGCAGTCGTTTAGTCAATTAGATGGAAGCAACATATACTTACCTTGATAGAAGGGACACGTTCTCCTACATCTCTAATCCGAAGAAACAACTTCCAAATCAACTTAGTTAATGGGGTATAATCATGGATATTATCTGCATTGATATTTTCGTAAATTTGCATATGGGTGACATACGTACACCAATCGGAGGCATGACTCGAAAAGACAATGGATCGGTAAATTACGAATGTCCTTAAGGTAAAAGGATCGCGAGGTAACTTCTCATGGCTTCAATGTACTCGAGGTTCGTGAGCAATAAACCATTATTGAAATAGGAAAGTTCTTGTCTGATCTTAACAGTGGGAGAATGAGGTTGAGAAGTGAGGCAAGAAGACGGGTGGTGGGCGGCGAGAGGGAGTCTGGTGTAGGGTCGCTCGTTTGTATCATTGACGATGACAATGATTGGAGACGCATAGAGCGCAAACACCGAGGTGGTGCTGGTGGGATACGACCGACGCAAGTGACAAAAGAGAGAGGTACGATATGAAAGGTCGCGGTACGATATGAAAGGTCGCGGTTGCTCGTATGTTGGTTTTTTTGGGAAGTCGGTATTGCCTTAATTAGAAACCTATTAATAAAGATAGGGTAATATTGTCAAGTATTTTGAGCCAAAGGGGACAGATGGAGCTATCAATAGACAGAAACTATTGTCTAAGATTGAATTGAATCTACGGTCATATTCATATAAAGATTCAACCCCAGATAACTTATAGAACACAAACTGTTGTTTAATATTGATTTTGTTTTCAAAAATAATGCCTCGAAAAATGACACTGTAACATTCAATAGTAGATAAAATCGAAACTGTAATTACTAAAAAATTCTAAAATAAAAAGGGGGAAATAACACAAATTGTCCTTGAATTTCGACCAAATGTGTAATATAGTTCATAAACTTTTAATTTGTTCAATATAATCCTAACGTCAAGAAAAACATTGAATATTTTTATATAGTCCAGGGACTAGTTTGAATATGTACAAAAAATTCAAGAACCACATTGAACAAATTAAGAGTTCATGGACCATATTCACATTGAGCTAATATTTAAGAGCTACATTGAACAAATTAAAATTTTAGAGATTACATTTCATATTGAGCCGTAGTTCATGAATTATTTATGTGATAATTCGTAGAAAATAAGAAAGGTCAAAATAAAAGAAAGAGATTCTTCTAAGGCGGCTGCTGTTGAGTGGTGGCGCTGCCACTCAAAAGGTCTTCACTCGGATCCCACCACTCAACTTCACCACGCATCGCATCATCATCATTAAGAGTGTGTACGTATACATATATACATACATATACATACATACATACATACATACATACATATTATATATATATAAACACACACTTAATTTACACCGTGTGAGTTTTATGTGAGTGTCCCAATATTTATGATCTAAATTCAATTTATAATATATGCTACCTGTACCTACAATATACATCCCTATTTTTAAAGAAAAAGTTGCACACATGATCGGACCATTGATTTAAAAGATTGGATAATTATAATTCTCAAATCATATGGTGAATAATACGGTTATGTAAATATTTACTTTACACTAATGAAAACATGTTCTTTATCCGAGTGATAACTCCTCCGAGTCGAGAGCTTCAGCTGCATTCATTACCATAAAGAGAATTGCACTAATCACACGGTCAATTAGATGTGAAATGTAAGCATATACACGCTAGCATAAGATTGCTATATTTAATATGAACATATGTTGTTTTAGACTACACCTTGGATGAGATCTAGAAATTCATATCATTTTTAAGGACCAACAAATTTTTCGATAAAACTCTCAAGCTACTAAGTTTCAATTAAATACTATCGCGATAATTCCTTTTTTTCCCTAAACTAATCCAAATGTCATTTTCTTTTTGTTAGACTTGAACCATCTTTTGCACACATACAAAGGGTGCCTTTTTTTGCAAGTGAAAAACAAAGAGAAAAGGAAGAGTTGAAAGAAAAAGGAAAGGAGTTGGGGGAAGCAAAGCAAAGACATAAAGTGGGAGACTAGCAAGGCGAGAATGTCTTTGCAAGAGGAGGCAGCGATTCAGACGCCAACGACGCAAATTGATCCTTCAATCCTCGCTGAAGTTTCTTCACTCGCTCACACAAGTCTTCTTCTTCTTTAATTTGACATAACAGGCTCGAGGAAGGATATTTGAAGGAAGAAAAAACACAATTGAAATCCCTTATGATCACTTTATTTTATATAATTATATGGACAAATCCAAAACAACTTTCAATTTTAAAATTCGGTTTAGAAATTCCAACAATGTCACAATTGGCTGAAAAAAATAGTGAAAACAAAATATTAGACAATAGACAAGATTATATTTTTTTAAGAACAAACAAAATGATCTTATTTTTCGATAAAACTCTTAATATAATAATAATCGCGTTTTCAATAAATCTCTAGAGATTCTAAATTCCAATTCGGTACTATAGTAATAATAATAATTTGTTTTCAAAACTAATCCTAATTCCAAATCACACTTTTTCTTCTTTTTATTAGATTTTAATAATCTTTTCACACATATAAGGTGTGCCATTTTGCTAGCAAAAAAGAAAGAGAAGAGGCAAGAGTCGATAAAAAGAAAAATAAAAGGAGTTGAGGGAAGCTAAGCAAAGACATAAAGTTGGAAACTAGCGAGGCAAGAATGCCTTTTCAAGAGGAGGCAGCGATTCAGGCGTCAACGATGCAGATTCGTCCCTCAATCCTCGCTAGATTTTTTTCACTCACTCACACAAGTTTTTTTCTTCTTCTTTTTCAATTTGGTCCAATAAGCTCGAGGAATCATACTTGCAGGAAGAAAAAAACCGATTGAGATTGTGACATGCCCTCCTTCCTTTATATATAATCTTTATAGAAAAACCCAAAACAACTTTCGACTTCAAAGCTTGGAAATTTCAGTAATGTACATAAGTGATTAAAATAAATGGTATAAGCAAAAAATTAAACAAAGGACAAAGTAGTATTTGTTTTAAGGATAAAGCCCTCAAGATTCTAAAATTTTTCAATTAAATATAAATAATTTTAAATGTATTCCCTAAACTGATCCAAACTCGAAACGACATTACTGTTCTTTTTTCTAGATTTCAATCTGTTCTGCAGACATAGAGGTGGGCCTTTTCTTGCCAGTAAAAATGAAACTAGCAGAGGCAAAGAGTCGAGAAAAAGGGAAGGAGTTGGGGAAAGCGAAGCAAAGCAAAGCAAAGACATAAGAGGGAGTGTAGCTAGGCGAGGATGCCTCTCGAAGAGGAGGCAGCGATCCAGACATCAACGACACGGATTCATCCCTCGATCCTCGCTAAATTTTCTTCACTCTCTCACAGAAATCTTCTTGTTCTTGTTCTTGTTCTTTTTCTTCAGTTCGATCAAATAAGCTCGAGGGAGGATCGATCTGTGTTGTCTTTGATTCTTTGACTTGGGTCGCTCTCTGCAACTCGGTTTCGAGGAGGAGGAAGAGGATAGAAGGATGCGAAGCATGGCCAGCTCTGCTGCCTCCAAGGGCATCGTCGCCATTGTTGGCGTCGGCCCTAAGCTCGGCCGCTCCGTTGCTCGCAAGTTCGCCCACGAGGGCTACACCGTCGCCATTCTTGCCCGTGACCTCGGTCTCTCTCTCACACACACACCGACGCACAAAATCTAGAGTGAAATAATTAGCTTTGCTCTCTTTGTAATCTCCAAATCTTGAAAAACCCTTTTACAATTCCCTAAGAATCTGTCCTGCGGCGGGGTGTTTGTAATACCAATCCTTGCAAACACCTTGTAGCTCTCGATGAATAATGGAGAACGCTGATTGAATTTACGTGGTTGTATTGGCGATGCGCAGGAAGGTTGTCGAGGTTCGCGGACGAGATCGCGAGGGAAGAGAAGGCGCAGGTGTTCGCAATAAGGATAGACTGCTCGGACACGAGGAGCATCAGGGAGGCGTTCGAGGGTGTGCTGTCTCTTGGGTTCGTCGAGATTCTGGTGTACAACGCGTACCAGCCCGTGCCAGCCACCTCCTTCGCCGACCTCCGCCTTGATGCCTTCGAGAAGTCCCTCGCCGTCTCCGCCGTCGGCGCCTTCCACTGCGCTCAACAGGTACAGTCTCACACTCAACACTTCCACGTCCAAGTCTAACGCAATCTTTACTAATTCATGACATGGCTTTGAATGTCCATATGAATTTCTACTTCTCATCCAAGGAGGTGGGTCATTGCAAAAGAACTCTTCATCTCTCTCTCTCTCTCTCTCTCTCTCTCTCTCTCTCTCTCTCTCTCTCTCTCTCTAAACATTTTTTCTGCATTATTCTAAGTAAATCAGTTGGTTAATTAAGCGGGTGTTGGTGCTTTTTGATTGATGAAAAGGTCCTGCCGGGGATGGTGGAGAGAGGCAGAGGGACAATACTCTTCACGGGCTGCTCAGCCTCTCTCAATGGCATTGCAGGCTTCTCTGAATTATGTAACTATCTTCCAAAACAATTTCAGTTTTTTTCTCTCTTTCATATTTCAGGGATTCTTAATAATCAATGATCGTCCATAAAAATAGAGAGAGTAATGGAGTTATTGAAAGGATTTAGCTAGCATGACAATCTTATCTTATTGAAATATTTGTGAAATTTACAGGCTGTGGGAAGTTCGCATTGAGGGCACTGTCACAGTGCTTGGCGAGAGAGTTCCAGCCGCTTGGAGTGCACGTCGCTCACATCGTCCTCGATGGCCTCGTCGGCCCACCAAGGTTCCCTCTTCTCTTTATACGCATTATTTCTCTCTTTGCAAACTCATTCAACATGTTATAATTAGGGTTTGGGTGGTTTAGTGTTTAGTTGGTTTTTGAGGGTTTCAGGTGAGGGTAAGAATTTAGGATTTTTGGGGTCGGGCATTTTTGGGGAAAAAAAGAGTTTTTCCAAGTAGGAACATAGTAACAATCGATGCGAAGGTGAAAAGTGCATCTGGTCTGCATTTGCAAAAAATAGAGGTATGTTGGTGATCGCTAGATGTAAAATGCGGTCTGTTTTTGAACTGATTTTTCTCTTCTTTTTGAGTGATGATGATTCAAGGCTGCTGCCTTTCGCTTTTATAAAAAGAAGTGTTTTAGACCTTCTTGGGAGTATCTTGGCAAGTGCCCCCGAAAAGAGGTTCGAAGCATCTCCAAGAAATTGAAAGTTCCTAGGACACTGGACAAGTGCCCAAAAAAAAGTTGAAAGCATCTGGTCTAGATATGTAACAAATCATATCCAATAGCTAGTTTCAGTCTCAAATTCCTTACTTTAAAAGTCTAATGGAAAGCCACACACACACACACACACACACACACACACACACACACACACATATATATATATATATATATATATATATATATATCTCCTAAGTGAATCATGATAGTGCAATTAATCTTAAAGAAATGAAATCCCAAATTCGTAATTCGAAAGCAAGTTAAATTCTTAGAAATCGCGATTCTCAAAAGGGGCCATATCGTGATTCGAATGTAAATAAACTTCTAGCGTCCAAAATCATAATTTCCTTAACATCTTTAAAACACTCTCCATATTCCACTTTGAATTTCTCATATCTTTTTTGGGCAAGCTAAATCTTTATCACTTTCCAATCAACAACAGAAAACCAGCCAAAAAACCTTCAAATATTTAGTTTTTCATGACACATTTACGTCTTATCTATCTTTCCTCACGTAAACCGCGTACTCTTCTACCAGCCTCGAAAATCGAAGTTCCCAGGAGTGTATCCTGAGAATAATGCCCGAGCTTTCGTGGATATATTAATCCACATAATTAATGATCTGACAATTCTAGCGCTACCGCCTTGTCAAACTTAGCCTTCATCTTTGTTTAATTGCTTTGGAAAATCACGAAATTAAGTAAAATTATAAAGATGCAGAAAATAAAGTTGTATAATTTGTCGTGGCACTTTTGTAATTTCCGGAAGCGACCCCTCCTTTTTTTGTCCCATTCCGAGGTTGGATACGGGGAGTGATATAAGCAAGCGTGGCCTTATTAGTGCCTTTTATAAGTCTCCGCGGGGGGCCCCCACCAGATTTTGTCGCTTTCTGTCCACTCGCGTTGACGTGTCATTTGATAGGCTTAGTGGATGAAGATGACGTAATATTTGGCCAAAAAAAAATCTTTGAAGAGATTTTCCCTTTTTAATATGTACTTTTTTTTAAAATAAATTTTTTTTTATATTGAGAAGAAGAAGAACCATATATGATTTTTCTATTAGGTCGAACATGTCTTTTGTTTATTGAATTTTCAAAGGGAAATAAAAAAAATCAGGAGTGTAAACGAGCAGATCCGATCCTAAATTTGTGAAATCTAATTATTAAATTCGGAATTATTTATGGAAATTGATTCTTGTAATTGCTGAACCCGCTAGCTAAGTTCATTGATAATGCATTTTTCTTTTTAATGAGTTTGTGAACGGAATGGTTTATTTTAGTAAAACATAAGTTCGAACAAAACTGCCGAGATGTCTGGACCGGTGGTGAAGGGGTTACCTGTCTTCCGTGAGGTTCAATTCAGTCGCGAGCAAACGGCTCGTGGTGCTTTACCTAGCTACATCCCAATGGATGGTATCTCGGTGAGACTTTAGAGACGAGTTGGTCAATCTCAATCTTTCGAGTTGTGAATAGGATGTAGTTATCATGACTCAAACCGGACAATCCTTAGTAAGTTTAATGTGAATGATTAATGCCGGTCACCCCTTCTCGTCCTTTGATTAATATAAGAAAGTTCTCCTTAATTGAACATGTTTGACATCACCAACATAGAAACAATGAGAAGACAGTTGTGATTGATGATGATGATGATGATGATGAGCAATGAATGGGGGAAAATGCAGGGGACCATCGACGGCACAGAGAGCGTTGGTTGGGGAGCAACAACAGCAAAGCTTCAGCGCAGGAGGAGGAGATCATGGGTCCGGGTCGACGGTCGCGTCCGGATCCAACTCCACGGCAATGGACCCCGATGCAGTGGCTCAGACCTACTGGCACTTGCATGTTCAGGACCGAGCCGCTTGGACGCAGGAGATCGACCTCCGCCCCACCGATCTCCGACTCTTCTAGTAATCCCTACTCATAAGGAAGATATTACCCTGTTCATTCCGTGGTCCGAAACGAGAACACAAGTTCATCTGGTTATTAAATTACGAGAACGCAGGTAAGAAGAGCTCGAAGAAATTTTTTCAAAGAAGAAATGGGCCTACGCGTCTCCTATTTGATTCTCTCTTTGGATATAGTTGATGATTTGTAGATAGCGTCACATATATGAGCTCAATGATTGCTTTTGTTTGCCGAAATGTAAGATAACTTTCGTGGTAGCGTGTGGAATTTCATCTATGTAAAGTTTCTATGACAATCGAAGCGATATAGCAAAGTGATGTGTTCAATTGAGGTCGGCACCTCCCCGAGGTCGCCACGAGGGAAAACCCTTTCGACGGTTCGGCTCGGGCGTGCTCGTGCTTGGCCGACGCGGCCTCCCCGTACAGTCACGATGTGGATTCAAAGCGTCACGTACATTCTCTGCCCTTTTGTCCCTGACGTGTTGTACGAGGGGATGGGAACGGGAACGCGGGGGTCGGACGAGAAGTCGTTGTCTCTTGGTCCACCAAAGGAGGTGAGTTGAGGACGCAAGGTGGGAAGCCATGTTTGCATGGACATCAAGGGGACTTCGTGTCCTAATTTAGGACATATATACCTCCTTTTGTCCTTTTAACAAAGGAACCCAACTTGTCCCTTTGCGAAGAAAGCACTCCCCAAGAGAAGATAATTTGGAAATGCAATTTTCGTTTTTGGTGCAAAGTGGGTCTTCCAATTGGTGGTTCCTCACCACCCACTTGCCCCTTCCTATTTAGCACACTTGACTTCACACGGTGTGGGTCTTGGGATTTCAATTTCTCGTGATTTTTGAAGTTGTTTGGAAAGCCACATTCTTTATGTTCGGTTGTCGAGGAATCATATCATTATAAATAAAACTTTTTCGCAAGTGATGTCGTCCACCTTTGGTTCGAGAGTTTTAACTATCCACGATCTTACTGACCATCAAATCTGTGATGAATAAGGTTAGCTGCTTCTGAAAATTCTTTTTACATTAATGATGTATGTTATAATTGTTCGATATGTATTGCCAAACAATACACAAAGTTGTTACCATGTGAGCCCGCATGACTTGTTTGTGCTTACGGTTCCAGAGGGGGAAGAGTCATCATATTTGATCCTTCAAAATCTCTAACTCTACAACTATAAAATGCTTTTTGTGATTTTTGGCATTTGCTTGCATAAAATCAAGGGAGGGAATGAAAAATAACACTAAGTAATTCATAGGTGGCATAGCCGGTGCTGACATAGATCATTTTTATTTTTTTTAAAAAAAATACTGAATTTTTTCCCTTTTTTTCCTGTTAATTTTGTCCTTTTTCATTTTTCATATTTTTATTTCCCTCTATCGAGGTCGCCGGCCACTAGTGAAGGTTGTGACACCCTCACTTAGACCAGATCTAGCTCGAGCCGCGATGCCCTCGCCGGACACACGGAGGGATTGCAGCCCCTCGCCCAGTGGTTGGCAAGGGCGTCCCAGCCCTTGCCTGTGGTGGATGACCTTTGGTGTCCATCGAGGCTACAAACTGGTGGAGTGAAATAAGATAAAAAGAAAAAAAGAAAGGGTAAAAGCCACTAAAAATCCCAAATTTTGCTTACTATGACACATTTACCAAAAACTGTTTTGTAACACCAAAAACCCCAAACTTGTACTTATAGGACACATTTATCCCAAAAAGTTAAAAAATTACAAAAAATTTGTCAACGTTAGCGATTTTCGACCAAAATTAGTTAGAAGGACTATATTGACAAATCGTCAAAAGACTTATGACTATAGTGGCCAAATCGAATAGTTTAGGACTAAATTGGCCGTCGTACAATAAGTTTATGACTTTTGGACAATTATCCCTATCATAACATATTAACTAGCACCAGAGAGAATAATCCACACTGGTGTCATAGTTTAGCAGCGGGAAAATTACCAAAAAATTCCTAAACCTATTGCAATTATGCCAATTTAGTCCTAAACCTTTTTTTTTTTGCCAACTCAGTCTTAAACCTTTTGCAATTGTGCCAATTTAGTCCATCCGGCCACTTTTGGCAGGCCGACGCTGACGTGGACGCCGGCCGACTGACGTGGCATTATTTTAATAAATTTTTTTTTATTTTTTTCGAATTTTTTTTTATATTTTTTTCCTTTCTCTTTTGTTTTTTTTTTCTTTCCTTCTGCCCCCTGGCTAGACCGGCCACCGGGGGAAGAAGGAAAGGCAAAAAAAAAAAAGAGAAAGGAAAAAAATAAAAAAAAATTCGAGCTCCGCCATTGCCGGCCCTCGCCATCACACAACCATGGCAAGGCTCGACCTCGCTAGATCTGGGCGAGGTCGAGCTCGCCCAGCAGCGGCGAGGGCAGAGCTCGCCATGGCTGGGCGAGCTTGACCTCACCTAGCCATGGCGAGCCCTGCCCTCACCGTCGTACAGCCATGGCGAGGCTCGACCTCGCCAGATCTGGGCGAGGCTCGCCCTCGCCAATGCCGGCGAGGGCGAGCCTCCCCCTGCCCGGTCCAGCCAGGGGGAAGAAGGAAAGAAAAAAAAACAAAAGAGAAAGGAAAAAAATAATTAAAATAATGCCACGTCAGTCGGTCGATGCCGGCCGGCGTCCACGTCAGCGCCGATTGGCCAAAAGTGGCCGGATAGACTGAATTGGCACAATTACAAAAGGTTTAAGACTGAATTGACAAAAAAAAGGTTTAGGACTGAATTGGCACAATTGTAATAGGTTTAGGACTCTTTTGGTAATTTTCCCGTTTAGCAGCATATCTATGCATTCCATGAACGTGGATTATTTTCATTTGTGTAATATTGGAATATGTATTTCTTCAGTGTTTGTTTAAATGTGTTAGCAACACATATACTGCAAAAATGACATTGAAGAGCAAGGACCAACGTCATTTTTTAGAGTAATAATAGCAACAGTAGGAGATAATTCAAATTGTTCTCTTCTAACTCAATTCGCCTTCGAGCTCAATGAAATGCCAAAGATAGCAATTGCCCAGAAAAGAAGAAATGGGTTTCCTTTCACCTGTGCAGAAACTCTTCACCACCCTGACTTTTCCTCAAAGTCACCTCCACGAGCCCATTCTCGACTTCCATTAATGGCTTCTAAACAACCCATCACCTATTCTTCAATGGCGAAAGAAGAAATTCAGACCTATACGAAGAAAGTGAGGACCAGGAATACTGGGGGAGTGAAATACAAAAGAAACTCAAGAAAATGTGAGAATCAGTGGGTTTATATATAGGCGATATAGTGAAGGTGAGAGGATCTTATGGGGAAAATTACCAAAAAAGTCCTAAACATTTTGCAATTGTGCCAATTCAGTCCTAAACCTTTTTTTTTGCCATTTCAGTCCTAAACCTTTTACAATTGTGCCAATTCAGTCCATCCGGCCACTTTTGGCCGGCCGGCGCTGACGTGGACGCCGGCCGGCTGACGTGGCATTATTTTAATATTTTTTTCCTTCTTCCCCCTGGCCGGACCGGCCAAGGGGAGGCTCGCCGGTGAGGTCAAGCGAGGTGACCTCGCTGGCCATGGGCGACGGCGAGGCCTCGCCCAGATCTGGCGAGACCTCGCCGTCGCTGGGCAAGCTCGACCTCGCCCGGCCATGGCGAGGTTGAGCTCGCCGGCCATGGGCGATGGCGAGGCCTCGCCAGATCTAGGCGAGGTCAAGCTCGCCCGGCGACGGCGAGGTTGAGCTAGCCCGGCGACGGCGAGGCCTCACCCAGATTTGGCGATACCTCGCCGTCGCCGGGCGAGCTCGACCTCGCCTAGCGACGGCGAGGTCTCGCTAAATCTGGGCGAGGCCTTGCCGTCGCCCATGGCCGGCGAGGTAGGCCTCGCCATGGCTGACGAGGTCACCTCGCCGGCGAGCCTCCCCCTGGCCGGTCCGGCCAGGGGAAAGAAGGAAAAAAATTATTAAAATAATGCCACGTTAGCCGGCCGGCGCCGGCGGACGTTCACGTCAGCGTCGGCCGACCAAAAGTGGCCGGATGGACTGAATTGGCACAATTGTAAAAGGTTTAGGACTGAAATGGCAAAAAAAAAAAGGTTTAGGACTGAATTGGCACAATTGCAAAAGGTTTAGGACTTTTTTGGTAATTTTCTCGGATCTTCTGAGTATATTCTTACGAAAGTACCGACCTTTCATATTACGTGTTTTGAACTTTTTATTATTTATTTTATTTTATGTGTTCATCTTTTATGAATTGTTGCTATTGACAAATGAGAAGCTTTCATTTTTGTTGTTTCGTTCACTCTCGTTTTGCTTAACTAAAAATAAAACAAAAAAAGGAACCCGTTAGATTCAGGAACCGATATTGGAACCTGTGACAGGATAGATTTCAAGTTCCTATTAGTAAGTTCTAGGTTCCAAATAGTAAGTTCTAGGTTCCAAAATATGAAGAACTTGTACCAACGGGTTTATTACATATTACAGGTGGCACCTGTAAAGAACCTTAAATCGCTCCCCCTAATTAAAACCTCCTTTTATGTCTAAAATAATATGGTCAATTATAACATGTTTCCAATCAATTATACGAGCGCCTAATGCGCAAATAAGAGCTTGAAGTCATTTTGACAAAATTCACGTTATTTCCATCCTCTAAATGGTTATATAACACTCTGTAACTTATTGAGAGGATGAAAATAACCTCAAAAGAATTAATTAATCGAAATCATAAATGGAAAGGATACAAGTTGCTATTCATTAACAATGCAAAAACCACGCATTGTCGTGAAAACAGAAGACTGACCGTTTTTATAAATGGAAAGGATAAAAGTTGCTATTAATTAATCTTATGTTATTTTCCGTTCGTTTTTATAAAAATTTCATTTCCTTTCTGCTATCTACTAATGTGCTCAAGCTGACTTCTTAAAAGATTTTTTTGTAATGGGTTTAAACCTGGTTGATAATTTTTGTTAATTAACGTATTCTAATATAAGTTATAATCATAAAAGGTTCACAATTTTAACCGAATAATTCCCCTAAGAAAAATTTGAGCTAAAGAATTGCATACTACAAGGAGTTATTCCAAATTGAACTTTGGAAAAACGTCGTAAATAAATGTACTTCATTGATATTCTACCAAATGAGAATCTTGATTATTAAATTGATAGAAAATACTTGAATCTTAGACGATTCTCAACCGATATGTAAACTTCTCTAATTAAGCATAAAAGAAAAAGAAACAACAATTTAGGAAAGGTTGATAAAGATAATTATATTAAAGTACTATTTTTCCTCTTTCACTGATCTGGCCATTAACGAGATCTCAATGATGGCTATTTCGGACCATCTAAATTTCAAGATATGTCTAAAGTTATTTAAGAGGTGAAATTGACGGGGGCCTTTTTACGAATACTTGGTTCAGAACATCAATTGATTTACTCCGCGTAAAAATCGAAGTCTTCCCGGCGGGTGAATATCGTCCCATCGAAACTTGTAAAAACTCAAAGTGCTCTTCTCATTAGAACACCTCCAAAGTGAAGATTGAATGAAAACCGACGATGCAGAGACACGAGAGAGAGAGAGAGCAACCTCGAAGAGATGCAATCGAGACAAAGTTTCATTTTCCATGACAGGATAGTGCCCACCAAAATCACCCACATCTCTTGGAGTTTTTCCATGAAAAAAGAGTTTAAGATGAGATGAACATAAAAATCTGCAACGAAGAGACAATGATGAACTTGCGGGTCATCGTGTCGCATAACGTGCGTGGAAAGAAGAGGACGAAAGAACGCTCGATGGCCGAGACTCCGAGCAAAGTTTTCCGTATCGAAAAAAAAGCTTCCAAAACTTTCCGACATCGACTCGGATAATAATGAAGGAGATTCACGGAGCTTGAATGCCTCTTTGCATTGGATGTTCATCTCTCTCTCTCCCTCGCTCCCGCCCTCTCAACTTGTCCCACATCGGTTCGAAGATCCCAATTTGTCCTCTTTAAGTAAGAAATTTTGAAGAGAGGCGCCCATAAGCCACTGGACGAAGTGAATGGGCCGCAGCCCAGCCTTATGTTGGGCCGGGCTCAGGAAAGTCCCCGGGCCACGATCTGCAGAGATGCAGTCTCGGGAACGAGATCGGCTTCAGGTGTCCAGATATCCCCCATCGCCGCCGCGCGATGAGGCTGAGACGCGTGCGGAGCCTCCGCGGGGACTCTCGCCGGAGCTTGAATTGGCCGATGACCCACAGTCATTCACTTGGCCCACATCCCACACAATCGGATTGGGCTAACGGAACGGGGCTTACGCTCCGGTGGCTTCTCTTTTTGCCCGAATTTTGTTTAAGAGTTATCAACAAAAAGGGTAGTTACAGCAAGAAGAGAAGCAAAAAAAAAAAGGGCATGAACATGACCATGACCATAATGGTCGAAAACTTAAAAGAAACAATATAAAGGGTAGCTTGACCATCAAGTTTCGAAATTAATGGACGAAATCTTTCATCGGAGCCTAATATTCTCAAGCCGACCAATCGCAGAAGAGATATAATAACCGAACGGGGTCGGCCCGGCCTTGTTACTTCGGCCCTTGCCCATGCCTATCCAACGGTGCCTTCGGTCCCCGGCGGCACGGGTCGAGCCTAGAGGGGGCCCACGGGCCGCTGGCCAGAGATCAGATCTTAGTCCGGAGCCCAAACTTCATAATATACTGATTGGCATTAATTAGCTAGAGGTTCGAACTCATCAACTCAAGGAGATCCAAACTTGAATCAATCAAATATTCCCTTTCTCTTATCGACATTCACATGTGAATCTACCAACAGGGCCATCTTACCACCTAATCACAAAAAGAGAAAGACAAGGACCAAAATGCTCACTTGGGACCATCCCTCCCCATCTCACAAAAGACACAAAGCAGAGAGGCTGCCTAGGAAGGAACAAACCAAAAACGGATTGTTTTTGTCGTTCGGACACTTTGATTCGGATTCCGCCGGCAACGTTCCCTCGGTTTTCACGATCAGGTGCATGCAAAGCCAGCCAATGCGACAGTTGCTTCCCTAGGCGCCCGGACAGAACAAAGCACGCAGCTTTCGAAGCGGGACTCCATATTCTTGATCGGTTTTATACTCAAGATCGATTGCAGCTCATGCCCACCACGACAAAAATGGCGGAACATATAAGCCGTCAAGCCATGGAACTGGAGAAATAATGAAGACCCTTCACTTTGCAAAGGACAGATATAGCATGCAACCTTGATTTCCACAGTCCATGCACAGAGGCAGGATTCCGGAATGGAGTCGTTCGATGAGGAGAGAACGCAGGACTACTTGGGCGGAGCAAGAAACGCGGGAGCAACCGATTTGCTCAGGGCCAGGATCGCCGAGCTCACCAGAACGAAGGGCGAGATCAAGAAAGCCAGAGACGGGGCGATGCAGTCGTGGCTAGACTCTCGCCCTCTCCTGGACGAGCTCGAGAAGCTACAGGCCACGGTCGAGAGCGCCCGGAGCAGAGCCTCCGTGTCGAGCGTCCTCGTCTCGGAGCTACAGTCCAAGCTCGAGTCCACGGAGGCGTCGATCCAGGCCAAGAAGAGGGACGAGCTCGAAGCGACGAAGGCGGTCAACGAGCTCACTCTGGAATTAGATCGGACGCGTGGGAGGACGGACGCGCTCAAGCAGGAGATCGACGAGGGGCGGCGGGTGCGGCAGAAGCTCAAGCAGGTCCTGCGCGTGAAGCGGCAGAGGCTCCGGGCGCTCCAGCTCGGGCTGCGGGCGGTGAGGATCGAGGCAGAGGCCGCCGGAGAGTCGGAGGCGGAGGCGGCCCGGCTCATGAACTGCGCCCAACGGGAGAGCGGCGTCGTGAGCTTGAGCGGGAAGGAGTACTGGGAGCTGGTGCGGCGGGCCGAGGAGGAGGAGTCGCTGGCGGAGTGGCGGGTTGCGGCGTCGATGGAGCAGAAGCAGGCGGCGGAGGGGAGCAGGGACCTGGCTCTGGCGAGGCTGAGGGAGGCGAGAGGAGGGAGCAGGTCGAGCAGGAGGGTGAAAGAGGAGGAGAAAATCGAGGAAGAAGGAGATTCGAGAGATGGGGTTGAAGGGAAAGCGAGTGCCAGAGGGAGTGTCTTTCCTAAAGCTCGAGCTCGAGCAATGACAGGGGAGGCTGATCACGGAGGAGGAAGAGGACGGCAGTCGGGACGAACAGGACGCGATGGCCAGAGAAAGGTGGCGAGGAGGAAGAAGAACAAGACCTCGTCGTCTATTTTTCACAACATAAGAAAGTTTCTTGCAAAGAGTATCGCGAAAATCTTCGGTTGATGTTAGACCGAAAGTAATACATATATTTGCCCTTTGTATATCAATGCGGACATCCTCTGTTCTGTGGTTTATGATTGGTTTTCACTGAATAATTTCTCGGTACCCCAGTCGTTTTTCGACTGCGGGTCATCCGGTGAATGTTGTCTGTGTCTCGCTCTCTGGCTCATAGCCAAGCCATGGTCTCTCCCAATGCCTCGTACCATCGGTAACTTGACCGTGATTCACCTTACGATGTTATTGATAGATTGATACGACTCGAGAAGTTGGCGCTGCAGTGTCCATCGTGCTTGGGTTGTCGCACTTTTGGCTAGTGGTTCTAAGTCGGATGCGGTCTTCCTCAGGCCACGCCAGTTTGATAGGCCTCGTGTGTTTTCCATTTGAGGCGACTGGGGCTATTGGAGTCGAAGAACTTGAAGGCTAGGCCGAATCCAAACTACTCACCAGCTATGGTTCAGATAGTGCTCGCATTGAACTGGTATAAAATCAGTTCGACAATGCCCTGAAACAAGCAGCAAATCTCCCTCTCGGTTTAATGCCGAGGTGTCGGAACTGCTCCTAGAGGAGGTTCTTTCACCTTTTGAAGGAAGCAAGTAGTTCGAATCATTGCAGTAATCTTATTTTAGCGATACGAGACCGCTTCTTCCCAGTTTGAATCACTCCGACAATCTGCATAGACACGGCAGATACAAATTGAAGGCAGGATTGATTCCTCATTCCTTGTAAATATCTACACGGTCTTTTCAGGGTTCACAAAGATTTAAGGTTGGCCGAAAATTATGAGGAGTGCAAATGTTGATGTCTTTCTTAGTTGTGTGAATAAAATATGGTCTTCCTTGAAGATTCGAGTTTTCATGAATGCCGCCATATGAATCTGATGCCGACAAATCAAGATGTTGGCTTGGACAGTCTATAATCTATATATTGGACAAAGAGAACGATAGATCGCGGTCCATGTCTATAAGATTTTCCTTTCCAGTTATAACATTGAAGTAGTCTCGTCCATCCGAGAGTATTTGGTCGGATTGCATAAAGTTGCTTATGGTGCCACTGATTATACAACACTGACTGCAGATTACAGTTGATTAATTTACACACTTAAAAAGAACTTCGACCACCTTCGGCTAGTTCTTGTCCTTGCATGCTTACGCTTCTAGTTCACCGCCCTACAATTCTTCCTAATCTGACCATTCTGTCCGGTGAGCACGCCAATACTGGCCATTTTTACCATCGACACTCCGAAATCCCTCGGAAACAGAAAGGGGTACTTGCTATAGTACATGACCATTGCAGCGGTTCTGTTGTCGCCCATGAGGGCTTGGTCCGACTGGAGAACCCCGGAGTTGATGATGAGGTTCTTGTAGTAATTGTTGTCGAATTTATCAGAGGTTGTGTCTAAAGCAGCCAAATTGGAGTTAGAGTCGTCCTGGTTGGGGCATGTGACTTGTAGATTTTGCAGAAATGATGTGTCTAGCGCTGGGTCGGGCTTGCCGGAGCCGTTGAAATTGAAGAGCCTCGACTTGAATGTGAAGCATTGTGCAAAGCCAATCGTATGCGCACCTGCACATCCCGAAATAAAGAGCGTGAATTGGTCGTATCATCTTAGCTAGGATAAATAATATGAGTTAGTAGTTGTAGAGACAGATATAAACCTGAAAGCACTACCACATCCTTGATGTCAAGACCCTTTGAGGTAAACTTTGCAGTGATTTTTTCCAGGGGCTCGATGGGTGAAGGCAGCTGCTCGTTGACGGCGCTTTCCCTTGCACTTAAGCCGTCTCGGCGACCCAAGGGCACTGCATAAAATTGCCCTCCTGTCTAAAGATATAAAAAAAGTGCAAATGCATGTTCGTTTAGTGATCCAGAATCAGAATGAGCTGGTCGAAAGGCGAATCTAGCTATTCTCATGAAGAGTGGATACACAACAGCAGACTTGATTACCAGATAAACAGCCTCTCTTGCGGCTAGAGTGAGAATATCGGCACAAGAAACTGTGGCTGGGCATGCTTTTTCGACATTTGCCTTAATGGCATCGATGACCTCGAAACCTCTCACCGAATTGCGATTGGGAGATGCATTCTTCTCTCCCTTTATTGTGCTTGTATCATCAAGCAGGACCGACCCTTCACATCCCTGATAATGAAAACAAGAGAAGATGTTTTTAGGAATAGTTTGCAATTAGGTTCATCAGATAAAGAAAATTTATTCAGTAACGGTATAGCTTAAAGCATTTTATAATCTTTCAGAAGGCTCATTCGAGCCGTGCAAAGATTTTAGCTGTCTAGGTCTTGTCACATAAACCAATTTAAGTTTAGTCCAAGTTTCAAAAAAGAAAGTTTTGGATGTGCCTATTTACAAAATCCGCGAGAAGCAATCGAAGAGTTCAATTACATCGACAAGACAATCATGGAAATGTAGGCGCAAGATAGAAGCAGCCATCCTGGTCTCGTTTGCGATAGCCGACCAAACGCCATACCGGACAAGTTTTGTCAGACTGGGACAAGCGTTGTCATAGAACTTATAATCGAGCTGAGAGGAGACAAGAAGGCTGCAGAACAAGATGCAGAAGCATGGAAGCCATGAAAGTTCAGAGCTGCGCTTCATATCTTCACAACAAACAATGACAGCTGTTTTGATACTGGTTGAGTGACAAGTGGTAGAGATCACTGATCAGCACAAGCAATTTATACGAGAAGAGCTAACACAGATCAGCTGGAACTGACTGTCAATTGGAATTTAACTACATCAGAGAGTGGAAGGACCACTATTGGACGTCGCTTTCGCATGAGTTTGGTGCAATTCCACAATTTTGGTTAATGGGGAGAGAGAGAGAAAGAGAGAGGCATAGGGAAGTGGCAAGTGATGCATTATTCCAAGAAAGAACAGTGATTAGTCCATAAAGTGCACTTACTCTCAAAGTTGAATTGAATGTCGCACGTGAAAAAGAAAGATCTGCTCTATACAGATACGCCCCCATTTTTTGAATCAATTAGAACCGAGGTGCATGTATATTATAGCGAGGAATAGCTATTAAAAATGCTGAAAGTCTTACATGATTATCTGCAGTGTGTCTTAGTGGAATGATCCATTATGCACTGGCAGTAGAGCTCCGGCCATGTAAGTAATGGTGGTGAAAGTCAAGTATCATACAGTAGCAAAAGCAAATTGTAGTGTTCTGCAAGGGCAGATTAGGGGCCCAAGTCGCAAAATCGATCTCGGATATTTCAATTTTTTCCTAAAGTCATAAAAGAGTAGGTGTTTGCCATCAATCTGGCTAGCATTTGAATTAGGCCTCTGAAGTCCAAATTCAGATCGACCTCCCTTCAAAATGCAGAATTACCTGGTGGAGATGATGATAGGAACAGAGAAGAATCGAGTATCATTTACTCGTCTACATGGATAGAGCATGATTACGTCCGCTAATCTTCCAGCTTAAATAAAGTTTGTTCGATTGGGTCATGCAGAGTTCCTAGTTGTTTTATAGATTTTTCAACAGATGATCTCCGAAAATGGCTTATTCCGAGTCTAATCATGACATGTTAATGGCCCCTCTACAATGTGGTTCCATGAGTTTTCCTCTGAATCTGAGGGCAGCTTCAACATCGTTCTATGGGTCTCGATTCCAAGCACATGGTTTTTGCCTTGCATGAAGCATGATGCTCATGTGCAGAAGCGGTAAAAAAGGCGAAGCGGTAAAAAAGGCACGGCTCATGCTCAGAATCATCATCATCATTCATAAACTGCCACAGTAAAATGGAGTAAATAAGCCGCTGATCTCTTTTGTCTGGGGAGAAAAGGAAACTGGAGGACCGGGACATCTACCTTCCCTAGAAACCGATCTGACTTATTACAGCTCCAGAGTCCTGTCAAGTATTGAAGATGTGTAGTTCATGATATACCAGTATCTTGAACACAAATTGAACCAGTTAATCGAGTGCCGTGTTTGACAAAGAACGAACGGATCAGATGAAGGGCTTGAACTTATTTCTAGAAGCCACCTTAGTCGGGTCGTTGAGCCATCAATAGGATCATACGAGCCGTGCTGACTCATTGGGAAGCTGAGAAAAGTTGCAACAAGCCCTCTAGATGGTCAAATCCCCTCAAGAGCTGTCAACGACCACTGATGTTAGGACATCAAACTAGCGCAAGTTGAGTTCAAAAGGTCGCATTGAATGACACAGCATTAGCACTGAGAACTTTTGATCCTGGTAAGGTGTGCGGGTGAAGGGATGTGTGCTCCCACCAAGTCACTACTTAATTTTTGCTGGTGCATTATGCTCACTGATCAACTTAATCGTCGAATGACCAATATTGAATTGGATCTTCGACGGCACTCTGTTTGTGCTTGGCAGACTAAATCCAAATCCTCCGACTTGCATGCAAAACCTTGCCTGCTGTCAATTGCAATGGGGGCAAAACTTCTGAGCCCGTTTCAATGGCATAAAGAGATCCTTCTGAGCCCGTTTCAATGGGAGCAAAACTTTTGCGCTATGTGGACTGGTTTCTCTAGTTTCATATGCATTTTCCTTGGTGAATTCCCTAAAAAAACCCAAACTTTAGGTCAAGTCCAAAATTTACCCTGAACTTTTTTTTATCTTAAAAAAAAACCCCAAACTTTAGGTTAAGTCTCAAATCTGCCCCGAACTTTTTTTTGTCTAAAAAAAAACCCAAAACTTTAAGTTCAATCCTAAATCTGCCCCGAATTTTGTTTTGTGTAAAAAAAAATCAGCAAATTTCAACTTATTTTCAAAGATATACCCCATGATCCAGTCCCAACTTAACGCGGCACTTCCACATCGATAACAAATCCACATCAGTAAAGTAATGGGGCGATAGGTACATACCGAAGTCGCATTTCCACTTCGATAACCAATCCAACCCAATGGAAATTATTGAAATTCTCCAAAATAAAACCATTTTAGGATATGAAAGTTAGGGACGACAACAAATCCACCCCAAAAAACTTTTTAATTTAAAAAAAAAACATAATTTTTAGGTTCGGTCCAAATTTGCTCCGAACTTTTCTTTGTCTAAAAAAAAGCCCCGTTACTTTATTGATGTGGATTTGTTATCGATGTGAAAGTGCCATGTCAAGTTGGGACTAGATTACGGGGGTATATTTTCGAAAATAAATTGAATTTTGGTGATTTTTTTTACACAAAACAAAATTCGGGACAGATTTGGGACTGGACCTAAAGTTTGGGTCTTTTTCTAAGAAAAAAAAAAGTTCGGGGCATATTTAGGACTTGACCTAAAGTTGACGGTTTTTTTAGGGAATTAGACCCATTTTTCTTTATAACTCTTCTTTTCCTGTTCTTGTGGCAATCACCTTAGACGTTTCGTATTCTCAAACAACTTGAATTTCTTTTCTTGCAGTGGACGAATCCTTGTGCCAAGTGCCGATTCTGATCCTTTCATAGTTCCATTAGAAGATTGAGCAGGCAGTGTATTTTAGCGACCTCTTTTTTATGGCAGATACATGATTTGGCTGTTAAAAGGACACTGGAGTCGGAGCAAAAGAAAGAGCCAGAGTCGGAGGCCCTTTGTAGGGCTCAGCCGAGCGAGAGAGAGAGAGATATGCAAGTCTGAGAAGGACTCACCACTGTAAGCCAAACCATGCTTCGCCACTGCTTTCAAGTTTCAATTCTCTTAGGCTTCAATTCAATGCTATCATTTCTTCAAATTACTAATGACAATGAACCTAACTCACTGTTAATCGGTAGGTGACTTTAGTCTTTTAAGGAAACTGAACTATATTGACCCAACCGCGAAAACGGACAGTCATCTTTGTACTCCCAGCCTGTCATCTAGTTCGGCCTGTAAGTATCAAATTTCTCGAGTAGTCCTTTTCGAGAACCAATTGAGCTCTGGTACCATTCGACACGAGTCACACGACACTAGAGTTACCCTTTAATGCCAACCAGTAAGGTAACAGAGCCAGACGATCCTATCAATGAACTCAAAGCTTCCTTTGTGCGCATCATGCTAATCTTCTCTCCATCGTTCTAATTTTATTAGATGTCTCCCGACAGAAAATTAACTCAAAAGCTTCTCATAGAAGCAATATGTAAGAGAGACAAGCACAGGTGATGCAGAGCACAGGGAACTGTAATCCGAAATCCAAATTATTGGACCTCGACCTTTAGCCACATCTCAAACACGAGATCACAGAACAGAGATTTTCTTGCATCAGACAACAAGCCAGAAAAAAAAAAATACTATCTAGCTGAAATCCAGTGCTTCATAACCATCACAGAACAGTTCAGAGAGAACCCAATAAATAGCACCACGTTTCTCTCTCAGCGTGCTCTACAGTTTTTGCTGATGAAGAGAAACCGCAGATCAGAATTTGATGGTAAGTCTTCCATATCTGTCATCTGGAGGGGGTCGCCCCACTAGCAAAGGTTGCAGAAGATGTAATCGAAGCAGCTGTCCGAGCAGTCATAGCAGCAGGAACAACTGCATCCCAAAGATCAACCAAACGCAACATCTCGAAAACTTAGAAATAAACAAGAACCCGGCTTTTCTAAAACAACAATTCTGCAAGACCCGAAAGGAAAAAAGAACACATACCACTCGTTGATGGCTTTGTCCTTTTGGTCCTTTTCGTCCTCTGCCACTGAGTAACTCTTGCTAATGTCCTGGGTCGGAGGTGGTTCCATCTCTCTCTCTCTCTCTCTCTCTCTCTCTCTCTCTCTCTCTCTCTCTCTGTGGATGCTGTCGAGGGGTGACGCTTCTTCTTCTTCTTCCTGTACTTCAAGGAGGAATTCGATGGACAGGAATGGTGAAATCTGCAGATGATGGTGGTGGGGATATCTTCACGTGATTGCACTAGCAAAGAAAATAACCGACATGCCTTTCTTGGTTTTATTACTTAATATATTCTAAATGTTGAAAAAGTGTATACTTTTTGTGACATTGTGTTGACCCAGTTATGGTAAAACAAGTCCAATAAAGAAAAAGAAAAGTGTACATCATCCATCGCAAGTGCAGCATCAAAAAGTGGAACGACCGGGGAAGTGCTGGACTTGTGAAGGTTTTATTTTGTTTTATTTTATGTTTCATTTGACACCGGACTTATGAAGGGGAGAGGCCCGATGGGGTTTCATTATCTTTTTCTTTGGTCCATTCCTGACGATTGTAATATATTCAAATGAAGTGTGTGATCTGGACATTCCAATACCATCCACCCACAAAGTAGATGCTTTTAAATATTCGTTTTTGTTTGCGTTTATGTTTCAATGGAAAAATTACAAGAACCAATTTCAAATCGTATTTTCTCTTATCAAATGCTTCTTCTCACGTTTCGAAACCTGCAATTATCATCTTCATATTTTATATTGGATCTCGAGGTGAATCTCTGATCCATAGAAAATTTATCAAATTGTCATTTTGTTTCTCAAATTACCCCCTTCAAGAAATCTCTCTCTCTCTCTCTACCCAAGGATAGACCTAGCGGCAATCTCCCTCTTTGCATTGGGCGCACCATTTTCAGTCCTCCAAAGGCAATCGCAACCATGACCAATCTTAAATTTGAGATTGATGATAGTTGCAAGGTCAGCTTAAAGCTAGATCAATGTCAAATGACCTCGATTCGTTAGCCATGGCAGCTATGTGATCGGGCTATGCTTCATAATTGTGTAACTCGCTAGCTTTGTTGTAGAGGCTTGTGCAGCCAGTCGCGACCCTTGCGAGCTCAAGGGTAACTCGCATGGCCCCCACAAAACCATGAGCTTGAGCGGCCTCAAGCGAGCTTGCCATAGATCTGATGTAGCTAGCAAGGATCACCTAGAGGGGGGTGAATAGGTGATCTTAACCAATTTTTATCAATTTATGCGGAAATGAAAAATCATAGTTGAGTCTGAATAAAATTTAGATTTAAAACAGTTTATATAGATAGTGCTCTTGATGTGCAGTGTGTAAAGTAAGAGATAATGGATAGAAAAACTGCACACAAGTTTATAGTGGTTCGGCTTATAGCAAGCCTACGTCCACTCTCCCATGCCGATGACCTCACCTATTTGGATTTCACTATGTAATCAAGAGGAATTACAACTTCGAGTGACAAAGACTCTTGTGTATGATAGGACTCTCTATCTCACACAATTACTCTTACAAAGTGTCCCTCAAGATCTTAATTTTCAGCTTAGAAAGACAAAAGAAATTATTGAAGTATGCTCAGACTTTGGACTTGTTGATTCTTGATTCTGTACTTCTTTCTGCTGCTCGTTGATCTCCTTAAATACTCCTCAACTTCCAAACTAGCCGTTGGACAGCTTTCAGAGGATCATCTTCCAATCTTCACCTTGGACAGATTTGTATAAAAAGGATTGAGTAGCCGTTGGATGACAGAGTCTGAATCCCGCTGATTCTGGTTGCCCATACAATCAGAATCTTGGTTTCCATAAGTAGAGCTTTATCCGTTTGTAATGCATACTTGTCGTAATGTTTGATTGTCAATCAATTTGATTGAGATTGAGACAATCAAAACTTTTCTTCTGTGAAATCCATACCAGATCACTAGCTGTTATGTTTCGTTCTGAGTTCTGTGTCTGAAGAAATTCTACATCTGAATAATTTCTGTGCCTGCGTCTGCATCTGAATAACTTCTGCGTCTGCTTCTCAGAACTAAGATTATGTGGGTCTTCAATAAGATATGAACTTCTTATTTTGCTAGCTTGTGAAGTCTGAAAATTTCCTTCTAAGTTTCTAGAATATATACATACCTGGAATAAAATAGTTCAGAATAAGTATCAGATTTACAATAACATGGAAGGTTTTGTCAACTTCAAAATCAATAGGAGTTTTCCTCAACAATCTCTCCCTTTTTTATGGTGACAAAACTTTCCTGAAGATTGAATCAATTTGAAATTAATTTGGAAGTAAAAAAGCATATTAAGCGCATGAAGCACATATTGAAATTGAAAGAGCAAACTCTGTTGATATCTATGTCTTTCTCTTCCTTTGTATATAACCTGCATATGATCCTGCGTAAGATAGTATGGCAAATCTGCATAATCTGCATATAATTTCTCCCCCTTTTTGTCATCAGCAAAAATGATAATAGATAGAATAAAGCATTGATATTAATTAACCAAACAGTCTAACATGAAGAATTGTTAAAATATTACAGACCAAGTGAGAAAAAGATAGTTTTTGAGAAAAAATGTTAAAAAGCAGGCTATTTCTTGGAAGGGGTTCGAATGAGTTGAAAGTTTTCCAAAATGGAGACAGCTTCCTCAATCTTCGAAGAACATTCACCCATAGCTTTGTCCATGTTGGTTGAGCACAGAGCAATAGCTTCCTCAAGTTCTGCTTTATCTTTTGCTGCCTGAAACCGTTGAGTCTGATTGTTTTCCTCAACAATTTTATGAAGATTCTTCACATCTTGTTCAAGTGAAGCTTGCTTATCTTTGATTTCGAGCAAAAGAAGATCAAGATGTAGGGAGTGTCTGTAGCAAAAAAAAAAAAGTTAGAAAAAGCTCGAGCCTTTTATTAATCGCTAGAAATACATGACTTCGAAATAGTAAAGGAATAATCTTTTATAATTCTTATTAAACGTAAGCATGTTAATTATCACAATCATCATTCTAATCAAAATCTTGAATTTCTATAACTATTTTTCTTTTTTCTTTTGCCAGATTCGACGACTGATTGTTCTTTCAAAAAGATCGAAAACCAAAACCATATTCTTCTCTCATAGGCCAACGGCATCAACGTCGACACATGCTAGTAACAATGTTGATCGTGACCTAGATCCCGAGTTGGAGTTCCCAACTGTAATGAGTGTGTTAACATGTAACAAAAAAAGAAAACTCTTCTTCGTTCTTATGTCTATATAGCTAGTTATCAAAATAACTTAACTGCAAATGGCTACGAGTTATCTACGACTAAACCTCTATAGTAATTCTTTAAAATGTATAACATATTGTTATCTCCATTGCTTGACCTGAAAACCAAGCAAACATGCAAATAGATATCATCGCGGTCCTCGTTGTAGTGATCATCCTGCATAAGAAATAAACCAATAACTAGTACACATAGTGTTCGAAGAAAGTACATGTGAAATTCAATGGACGAACAGGAAAGGACTGATCTCACTTCCATCTGCATAAGAAATTTGTCTTCCTTCTTAATATGATACTTTTCATAGTGAGTGCTATCTCAGCATTTTCTCTTTCCTCAAAATTGGAAGTGGAATCTCTTGGTCATCATATCAACATTAGATGGTTGGCTATAAGAAGTAACCTCACCATGGTAAAGGAGCCGAAACTCCCATGTGGGCCTCCATGGCCTGTCCGATTGATTTATAAGGACGACGGGCTCTATGGATGCGTTCCTTATTTTGACGTGCCAGTACACACATGCCCTACGCTCCCAATTCCTTCCATATCTTTCTCTTCCTTGAAGAGAGAGAATGCCCTCTGTTTGCCTTACATTCTAGAGATCATGAGGTTCGGATGACACACAGGATGAAGCCTTCTAAAGTTTTTCTTAGGACAATTTCACATCTATCTCATGAAATTCATCTTCCATCGTAATATGATACTTTTCATAGCGAGTGCTATCTCAGCTTTTTCTCTTTCCCCAAAGTTGGAAGTGGAATCTCTTGGTCATGAGATTGACATTAGATGGTCGGCTATACTTTAGACTATAGTGACTGGGTACGAGGAATATTAGCATTATTCCTCATTAGTGTAGCCAGACTGATAAAGTTGGTACTTACCCATTTGGAAATATTTTAGTGGAATTGAGCTGGAGGTGACTAGTCAATAAATTCCATTGTAATTAAGAGGATTGCAATGTCTAAAAAGCCGCACTTCTCATTCCTTTTCTTCCCTGACTTGCATAGATAACATTTATCAGATTGAAGATTTGTATAGGTGAACAACCGGCCTTAGGGGAAATATTTATGAGTGAGCAAAAGGAAACAATTATAAAAAAAACAGAGAGAAAGTTTTAAATTTTTAAAAGGGATCATATGTTTGAAAATTTGATGCTCTGGGAAGAATATGAATTTTTGTGGATGAGGAGGTCTGAATCGACCCCGTGTAAGTGACATATTAAAAATACTTTCCAATTAACCCTAAGGGGTTGCCCAAATGATAGTGGGTTCATTCTTGTCACTCAAGCCTCGTGTCCGAATCACCACAGCGCGTTCTTTCAAGCATTTTCACCTAAGAGCGCACATGTTTGTGCGTTTCGGTAATCAATCGACAGCCGTGGGACTGGCGGATGCCGTATATAGTGAGGATTTAATCAGGTGCTCAATGAATCTCGGACATTTCACTATGTACAAAAGAAGGATATCTTACAAGTTAGAGAATTGCGATTTTGTTCATCACGTTATGGCATGTGATTATGACTTATACTAATAACAAGTATAGACTCGAATGATGCATTCTAGTTACAATTTAGATTGAAAGCCTCTAGATAATCTTGTACATCAAAAAATTTTCGTCGCCACAGCTAACCAACGGCCACCAAATTTGCCTTCGTCCTAGAATATCTTATGCAATTTCATTTAGAAACAGGAAAAATAAAAACTTGTAACCCACAAAATTACTGCAAATTTCAGTTATGTGAACTTACCCTTCTAATTCTTCACTCTCTTTTCTTCGTTATCCATTCAAAACTAAGGCTGTGTTCGTTTGCGGAAAAATATTTTTCCGGAAAATATTTTTCGCGTTTTCCGGTGTTCGAGGACCGGAAAACATTTTTCCCCCCCCCAAATCCTTCATTGTTTTCAGGAAAATGATTTCCTCTTTTCACAAAGAGGAAATCATTTTCCCCAAATTGAAGGCAAAATTGCCCATGGAAGGGAAAATATTTTCCATGGGAGAGAAAGTTGATCGCCGGTCATCACCGTTGGCCGTCGTCGGCCTGGCCGCCCGCCGCTGGTCGCTCGCCGCCGCTGGTCGCCGGCCGCCGCCGTCGCCGGCCGCCGGTCTCCGCCGCCGGTCGGCCAGCCACGCCGGCCGCCGCAGATCCGCCCGGTGAAAAATATTTTCCGAAACTTTTTCATATTGGTCG